CATCATATTATAATATATGAAGATGTATAATATGAATGGTGGATCAATTTGGAAAGATATTGGTTTGCTAATTATTAAAATAACAACAAATAGCCAGGAAGCACTAGTAGAGATAGTTGGAGTAGTTTCGCAAGTAAAATCTTCTTTATTTTTAGTATATTCACATCTGAGATGATATTTTCGTAATAGATCCTAGAATTGAGGCAACAACCTATCCGAGTGACTATTTACCAGATGAGATGTGCTACTTTCCTGAATGTATAGGTTGAATGAGATAGCGGGGAAATATTATTTTGAACGAAAAGAACCAAAAACTTTCAATAACAGACAAATGTTTCACGTATTTGAAAGAACAGACAACAGAACATCAACCTTCTGACCAACATTCACCGAAGCCATTCATAACCATGTCTCTAGATTTTCTCTAACGACATCGATACTGAATCAGCATATCGTTCATAATGTCGTTCGCCAATATATCGTTAACGTAACGATATCGGATTCCAACTAAGTTTCCAAATAGATTCCTTTTAGACTGACAGATAGTGAATTACTTCAAGAGAATGATAGATAAATATATAGAGAGATGCCTGCAACGCAGGTTTTATTCCTGTTAAAAACTTCAAATTTCAAGTCGATAATTTTCTGATTTCAATATAATGTGATATCTTCTCAATATTGAACCGTGCGTTTACGTGTCACAAAAAAAAGTGTTCATTATACAGTAGAAAATTATTAGATTTCAGCTAACGATTTTTTGTCTTCCTCCGCTACTCTTCGGGAGACAACACAACCTGGAGCTAGAATCTACTTATTTTTCCCTTGAATAAGATGATTCGACTGATATTCCACATATTTGGAATTCAGCGAAGCTGAAGATCAAATATATACATAATAATGATACGGAAACGAAGTCCATGTAATTTGAACATCTAGTTTCATTTTTCACTACAGCAAATCATCAAATCCAAAAACAGACTAGGTGTATAATAGTTATTTGGCGTTTATAGCCTAGGCGTAGCCGTGGCTAGGAAACCAGCCAAGGCATTACATCTTCTTCTCTGCCATGTGATTTCGAAATAACTTCTTCTCAATTTTTTTTTCAATTACACGCAAAGTCCAAATAATCCATCATTGTTTCTTTACCCAAAGTCATTGTCAATTTTGTTGGCCAATTTGATTCAAATTACTTTGAACGTTACAAAGCAACAATGTTTTTCTGCCTAGGCAGTAAAAGTACACCTTTCCTGCCTGTTAAGAATCATTAAAAATCCGCTTTTGATGTCATTTGGAAAGAACAAACATTTTTTTTACGCCTTTATTACACAAAATTACTCTTGTTTAACTGTGTACGATACATCAATGAGGTATTTAGTAGGTCATCAATTTCATTTCCGTATCTGATAACACAATAACTTCATTGTGTGTCAAATAGATGAGCATCACTTGAGAAGAAATCAGATGGCTACAAGACGAAGAAATAAAAAATGCCGCTGTTATCTGTTGCAGTCGTAGAAAAATTATAAAGTATAACTCGCACGGAATGCTAATTTCCCACTCAAATGATTGCAGCATGAGCCGTAGGTAATTCACTATGCTGCTAATTTCATTCTCGTGGAAATCACTATAATGACGTGCTCGTTAAACAATATACTATTGTTTGATAATTTGGAAAAAATAATTGGGCAGTGATAAATTCATATGGATCAACATTCCTCGATGGTCTCGATATTGCTCAGTTCTTTAATGAAAATTGACCAAATTCAATCAATATGTTTATTTCAGCTGAAGAACTCTTCATAGTTTCATCATTATCCTTCATCATTATTCTCCAATAAAAAAATCTCATAGTCATGACGAGAGATTGACCTGGTCTCGCACATCATCAATCATGTCTACCTGTCAAAGCTTCCTTCAGGAAATGTATTACTTCTTAAGTAACAGGGTATATATATATATACTAATACTAGGATTAATGAAGAAAAACCTCATGGGTATTGCTGATCTGTTGAACTCGAAACGATGGAAGCCACTTGATTTTCTATTAGCATTTCGATGATACGAATCCCGTATGTAATCCCGATTACTCATCAGGCTAGCTGATGTCTTTGTTGAGTTTGTAGGTATTTTGTGATATATTTCCAGATGAATTAAAGTGTATTATTGTTATATTTAAGGAAAATCCAATCGATGTTTATAGATTTTTCAATAAAGGAATGAGAAGAAACTGAGTTCCCTGATTCACGATACTTAGTTTTACCTAAATGAATATTGCAATGTCAATGAGGACGAAACGATTTCAGTAAAAGAATATCATTCACCAAGCGCATGATGATCGATATTCATCAAGAGCCAAAGGCAAAGGCTGTAATAGTCTTAGTGAATAATACTTTATACCTTTTTTACGAAACTACAAATGCCAAAGCAGGAAGAGTTCAAGAATGAGCCTTCAAAAATCATAAAAGTATGGTCATATTGCAACAAAACCCATGAAAGTCAGTCAGTTTATTCAAGAGATGATCTCTTCTTGAGATTGCGGATTTCACGGAATCGATCAAATACTGCGGTAAATGTTCAGCAAGATCTTCGCCAAATTCGTGATGTTGCAGTAAGTAAGCAGACGGTATGTAGACGTCTAAAAGAAGTCAATTTAAAAGCTAGGAGACCTGCAGAAGGTCCCAATTCATTGCCCGAACATCGTGCTGCTAGAAGAAGTTTTGTTGAAAATTATGGACAGTGGAATATTCCTGAATGGTCAAATGTCTTGTTTACGGATGAGTTAAGGTTTTGCCTCAACATGGTGGATGGAAGAAAAAGAGAGTGGAGTAGAACTGGTGAACGGTTTAATCAAAATTTAATAACAGAATGCGAAAGTTTTAATGTTGGGTCCTTTATTGTGTGGGGAGGGATTTCTATGAATGGAAAGACACCCCTTCATGTTTTTCCGGTGAGGCAGTCGATGAATGCCCAAATTTACATTGACAGTTTAGAGCAGTATGTCTTACCTTATGAAGCGAGTTAGTGTGCAATGATTTTATATTGATGCAGGATAATGCCCGACCACACACCGCAGCAATAGTGCGAAACTTCTCAGAAGCCACTGCGAGAAGCCCCGATATGAATCCTATAGAACATTCGTGGGATGAATTAGAGAAAAGGGTGCGTTCTCGCGAGAGGTCTCCGGAAAGTCTCGCAGAAATGGCAGATTCATTAGTGGAAGAATGGGATCGTATACCAATGGAAACGATAAGCAACTTAATTTCCATTATGCTTCGTAGATTAGAAGTTCTTAGAGTTGCTAGAGAAAGCAATAATACACGGTATTGAGCATTCATCCCAATTTATAATTTTGTGTTCAATAAAAATGTTTTTTAAAATTATTGGTATCAGTTCATTTCATTAGAAAGTTGTTTCTCGATAAATTCAGAAAGTTGGTAATCTGCAAGGATTCAGCAAAAAAAGCTGTTATTCGGAAAATTTCAGAGATAAATCAATGAATAAATGATCAAAATGCTCGCAAAAGAAGCCTCTTTCGTATAGTGCCCAAGCACTTTCTATGCCATCACTCAATTAACACACAGGGTGAGTCAAAAATTAAGTATAAATCATGGTTCGAGTTATTTCACCACCATCAAGGAGGCTTTGGAAAAATGTTCACCTATTTTTTTTTCAAGACGAATGCATTAGCTACCAAGAAATAAACAAAAGGAAAAATCGGCCTACTATTTTTTTTTTCAAGAAGATAGGTCAAATATCAAGTGCGTCACTTTTTTGGAACTGAGTGTATTTGGAACTGGGTGTAGTTGGAAAAACTCATGTTTGGCATGTTTTATGTATGTACCAATTTGTTTAGTTGACATTATCAGGAAGAGTAAGTTCAAATTTCAATATTTTTAGTATCCTAGTTTACCAGGTAGTAAGAGGTTATAGCCCATATTATGTGGAATACTCTGTACATTTTCATAGATGAAACATGGCATGCTGCTGTTCAGATTATTCATTCATCAAAGGAATTTGAAATCGAAGTTATTGTTCTTGTCTTTTTCGTTTGTTACAATCCTGAAAATTATTACCTGCTGAAAGTATGGCATGTATATCTAGGGCTTCCTGCATATGCTTGATATGTGAATTGACAAAATTATATCATCGATTGGTACATAATTATTTATCAATTCATCTGCCATTACAGAAGTGTACAACGATATTAGACATCATCATTGAATTCCTAATACATTTTCACAGGGACGAACCGAAAGAAGATTTTTGTGGGAGGCAGTTACCCCAGTCAATTTAGGTTTTGACCCGGACATTGATAATTACTAAACGGGACCTTTTTCAGTTTGTTAAAACACCTTTAAGAAACACCCTCAAGAAAGTCCCACGAAGTTCTAAGTGGGATAGCGAAAATATGAAGGAAAAACTAGATGAATTCTGCTCAAAATCAACAATTTTAATATTATCTCCTTATTGGTGGATCCAAGCTCAATTATACCTATTATCAATTTTATAGGAAACTAAATTTTCTACCAGTTTCATACGAAACAATTTTTCATACGACCAATATTGAAAGAGCTGCAGCGTTTTGAATTAGGGCAATTATCGAAAATACCATAATTGTTCGGTTGTGAATGACATTTTGCATAAATATTTTTTCATTCATCAAAAACTTATCAAAAGCACAGAATATTCCTTCTGTTATGAATTTGGGATCATTTATAACGATTTCATTTGTTCGCACCAGTTACGTAATTCCTCGGATTTTTGAAGTTCACCTGGCATTTAATAATATTTTGATACAGTAGTAATAATAATAGCTGCTGACAAAGTAATCGAAATCTCAGTAAAATTAGGTTTTGACCCGGATATTGATAATTATTACTAAACACGGACCTTCTCTCAATATGTTCGGATGCCTTACGGGATGAGAAATTCCTGGAGCATGCTGAAATCGTTATTAATAAAGCTATTTCTTTACATTTCATATGATTTTTTTATTGCAATCGAGTGAATAATAAGGATAATGGTTTCATCTAATAGTAATACAAATAGTTTTTATTACTTCGCGAGCTAGAGTCTTCAAGCGAGGCTGAGTTCCACATCAGTTTCTGAAGCAAAATTATTATAAAAAAGAACAATAACACATCCTCAAATAGAGGAAAGAGAAGGAATTATGGATGTTCGGTGGCGTACCAGTACACGGGATCGGCTCGAGGTCTTTGTCCGGATGGTCGACGTTGTCCTCGTCCTCTTCTCTTAACGTATTACTAACATCCATGCCCCGCGCAGTGCCCGCAGATGTTCGAACACACCATCTTGTGCCTTCTGCACGAACATTTTTTGGATTCACACCCTTGTGTGCAGTTACAAGATACCATTTCGAGAAGGCGGTCTGGAGCCGGCTTACTTCGGTTGGTCACTGGGCGTAAGTGACCCTCTTCGTCCTTCTCGAATCCCCAATCAGTGGGCGGTAGAGGATTTCCTAACCATTCCTGGACCTGCAAGTACAATCTATGTGCAGTGAATATGTTCAAAAAATATTCTGAATGAACCGGCTTTTTGAATGGAACTAACCTGAAGATAGACTCGTAATGAGTGCTCTCTACTTGACGATGATGTGGGAGGCTGCTGGGCCAGATCAAATTTCTTGTTGGCAGGGAGCCAAGAATTGATTTCAACATACATCTGGAACCTTCTCTTTCCAAGATCATCCGAGGTTTTCCCTGGATACAGAGACATAATGAACATCTCTCCAGCAGTGGCAATGTCGTCTGGTGTGGCGTTTGGTGAGTTGAACACTCCAACTCGCAGACGTAGTGCCTCATCTTGTTGCAAGCGCCTGAACGGCTTCAATTTACCAATATTAAATATAGCACTAGTTGTATCACACCCCGTAGCAGAAACGATCTTCATCTCGGAAGGCATCCGAACATACCAAATAAAGGTCCCGGTAATTATTAATGTCCGGGTCGTATCCTAATTCTACTGAGATTTCGATTACTTTGTCAGCTGTTATTTACCATTATATCAAAATATTATCCTGTCCTGTCTTCAATATTTTTGATTTCCTGGCAACTTCAGAAATCCGAGGATTTGCATAACTGGTGCGAACACATAAGATCGTTATTAAACAGTCCAAATTCATAACAGAAGGAATATTTTATGCTATTGATCAATATTTGATTAATGAAAAAATATTCATGCAAAATGTCATTCTCAACCGAACAATTATGGTATTTTCGATAATTGCCCCATTTCAAAGCGCTGCAGCTCTTTCAATATTGGTCGTATGAAAAACTGTTTCCCATGAAACTTGTAGAGAATTCAGTTTCCTATAAAATTGATAATAGGTATTATTGAGCTTGGATCCACCAATAAGGAGATAATATCAAAATTGTCGATTTTGAGCATAATTCATCCAGTTTTTCCTTCATATTTTCGCTATCCCGCTTAGAAGGTCGTGGGACTTTCTTGAGGGTGTTACTTGAAGTTGTTTAAACAAACTGAAAAAGGTCCCGTTTAGTAATTTTCAATGTCTGGGTTTGGTCGGAAATTGGCCTATTATTACTGGGGTAAGTAGGTAAGTGCATTTCTCCAACTTATTTTTGAATTTTATAATTCTCGTTTCGGATTTAATGTGAATTTTGCCAACTCACAGACAACAACATGAAAATTAATGTTGCTATCTTATTCTTGAATTGTCCAATTTCCGTTTTGGACAAACAATTGATAATATACGAATTGATCGTCCTAGGTGAATTATTCAAAAGAGATTTCCTGAAACTCATTCAATTTGACATTGAAAAAATATAGAACATACTGGGCATATTGAGATAGAATATATCCCACTTGAGCTATGAGCTATGAGCTCCGAGTCGGCAATTCAGAGTACGTAGTTGGACCTCTTGGGTTCGTACAGAGAATTTCATTTTCTGAATTGAAACTTGATATTTCCAAATCAAAATTTGTATTCAAGTTTTTTGACTTCAAGCTCCAAATTCTCACTCATCAGCCGGAAAGTTCGAGTTTACAGTTGAAAGTTCTTAGTCTCAACTTGAAATGTTATTTCCCCTCATTTCTTAACTAGGAAATTTCGACTGTACGAAATCCTAATTTTGTTTTATCGAAGTTGGAAATTCCTAGTTTGGAGTCGAAAAAAGAATTCATCATGACACGTTTTTTTGTGAAACCTTCCCAACCTCATTTTTCCAACTCGCTTAGCCCCCCAGCCCCATGGGCCCGCCCCTACATTTTCACAATGTAAACGTTAATGACAGTTACAAATTATACTCATAACTGAACACTTGAATGAATAATCAAATTATGGCGACTAATGAAGCAGAAATCGAAATTCATTTTCCGTTCAACACACAGCTGACCAAACAAATAAGCACTTCTTCTGGTATCATCAATTATAATTATAGGAACTCCAGTGCGTTTATGAATTAATGACTGAATTTCAAAATGTGAGTAATTGTGTGATTCCTTCTTCCACTTATATTCATTAGAACAATATTCAGATTTTTTTGTATTTTCTCATCAGTTCAATAATTGTGTGTTCAATATGATTTTTCCACGATATAGTGAGAATTTCTGTATCTGTCTTTTTCAGCGAGAATTACACTAATTGGTAGAATCATGCGAAATGTCAAATGGAATAGATATCATTCTGCAATATTCTCAATTGAGTTATAATAATTCGGGTTTTTTCTGAACTGTCTGCTGGCTGCAGAAGCTGGTACTTGGTACCTATAGATTGTATCCATATTATAAACTCCTTGCTACTGATACAAATATGGTTTTAAGACGTGAAGGTAATTTCATCAGATAATACTCATACTTCATATTGTACTTATACTATACCTACCTCATTCATACACAAGGAAAATTCACTAATCATGTTTTAGATTGCAAACACCCATAGATATTATCGCATGTTGGGAGATACTTTGAAAAAAATGTCGTCTTTTATGATTTGATTCTGGAAAGACTATCATTATCAATGAGTATAGTGAGTGTCGGACCTTATACGAGGAAATTATGCTATATTATTGAAATACCAGAATATCTGGACGAATTTTTGGGCAAATTATTTGAAACCGATGGGTGTCTATTTCTTAGCAATATGTTGAAGTTGAGAATATAATTTCAATTGCGATAGAAGGAACAACTCAGTGAAAAATCAAGATTTCCTCACTTGACCCCATGCAATTATTGAATTGGCGCTCACAAAGTCTTATAACTTTATATTTTCGTATATCATATCATATCTATCCATGGATGTATACAAGTTCAGTTTGAATGATGAAAAAACTAACGAGATGTCATTCTGTATTCGAATTTTGCGCTGAAAAACTCAATCTATACAAGGTGTAATTTAATTGATGGCTCAGAATGAAGGATATGGGTCTTTAGCTCATTTTGAGGGAAAAAGTTCATATGATCCTCTTAACTTCCGACCCATACGATGTTGAAATTATAAGGAAAAAATTGTTTTTCTCCGATTGGCAGCAAATAATAATTTTGCTGACACATATCAATCAGCAAAGTATTACTTTTCCTGCCTAGGCAGCAAAGTGGGTACTTTGTTGCCTTGGCAGCAAAGTGGTTACTTTGCTGATGGATATATGTATCAGCAAAATTAATAATCCATAAATCGTTTAAAATTTCCTCCATATTTCATCCGAGACTTCTCCAGCAACAAATTCAACTCTATATTTTTTGCCACCTCCCTCATTTCTGGAGGTTTGAGTACTTCCAGGTCGCTATCACTGTCCATTAAATGATAATTTGAATATACCGATATTTTCTCGCACAACTGTCAGGAATTTCATGAATTGTCAAACTATAATTATTATGGACATTTCCATAGCAACCAACCATTCCAACAACTGCGATTTCAATCAAATTTCATTTTAATTGAACCATACAGGAAAAATAAAGAGATATATATCATTATGAAAATCGGAGAAAAAATTATATGTTCAACTCGGCAGCAAAGTAGATTGACTGCCTTAGCTGGATTCCTAGCCTCGATCGCTACGCTCGGCTATGAATTATTCAGCCTCGGCAGTCAATCTACTACTTTGCTGCCTAGTTGAACAAATAACTATTTCTCATCATAACTTCCATACCGTTCTAGATATTGGCATGAAATTTGACATACACCTACTGAGCACCAAAAGGCATTTTTTGATGCAATATCTCTACCGGTGGCGTACGTAAGGGATGTATCTTGGAGATTTTGTGAAAAAAGTATTATACGCCCTCTATTTTTCCGAGAATAAAATTCATTTTTGATATCCTTATTTTTTGCAACAATTGACTTCCTGATATTCTCCGTTCGACGAACCGTTTTCGCGTAGAATCAAAAACAATTTTCATGCGTTTGTGGCATGACGAAGTTATTTTGAACTATAGTAGGCTAATGCCCAATTTTGTAGTTGAAATAATGACATTTGATCGATTACGTTGTGGTCTTATCTAAACGTTACAGTATTTTACATTGTGGAAGTTTCTTGAATCAATGAAGGGAGAATAAAATGTTAACACCCTCTGGTTCGGAACTCAAGAGGTTTAGGGAAAATGTGTGTGTGTATTCGAGTTATACTGCAATTCAGGAGTATTTTGTTCAAATTGGATTTTATATTGGAGTAACCTACTCTCACTTCAGAATCGATTGCTTATCAAAAAAAATTGTCAAAATATTCTTACTCCATTGTTTATCGATCCGTTTTACTCCAAACATCTGATAATATCGCGAGGGTAATACATCAGACGAGCGCATATACCCATCTTACTGTTGTTTCAAAACAATGCAAAAATAGTGCTTCATTATATCAGTACTCACAGTTAGGCCATGCAGACAGACGAAGAACATCGTATATACCTATACAGGGTGTTTCACAGGTTAAGGGAAATATTTCAATGGTAGATAAGGGTCACCAAGGTGGTTCTGAAAATACCATAGGTATATGATAGGTCTTAGAGTTTTCATAACGGAGATACAGGGCGATTTATCGATTTCGAATAATTATTCATTCGTCTAAAAGTATTGAACTACCCAGTATATTTTTCTTAAATTTGGTATGGAGCTCAAACTTGGGACGTTGAATTCATTCACCTATCGGGCGAAGAGAAAATCCAGGTTCGGCTTCAGGAAAAATTCACATTTATTCGAAATATTAAAATGACACACTGTATGTATTAATTGACAGAGTTCATCAGCGGAATCGTAAAGAGGAGGAAAAACTGAACTGGATTTGATGCTTTCTGTTTTCCCACGACCAAGTCTCATCGTAACAATCATAAACAGAAAGCTGAAAGTATGTCAATTTGAAGAGTATTGAAATTATGAAACCAGTGTCAATTATGATTATTCGACATATTTTAGTCAAAAAATCGAACTTCCTAAGTCTCACAGTTTTTATAACGGAGAAACAAGGTGAATTATCGGGTTTGAATAATTATTCACTCGTCCATAAGTATAAAACTACCCAGTAACATTTTCTCAAATATGGTATGTAGCTTACTTGGGACGATGGATTCATTAACCTATCAGGCGGAATTATAATTCGATAATTCACCCTGTATCTCTTTTATAAAGACTATGAGACTTTTCCTGAAGCTGAACCTGTATTTCCATTCTGCCTGATAGGTCAATGAATCCATCGTCCCAAGTAAGCTCGATACCAAATTTGAGAAAATATTCCTGCGATGGGTAGTTTGATACTTATGGACGAGTGATAATTCAACCTGTATCTCTGTTATGAAGACTGTGAGACTAAGTAAGTTCTTTCGAACGATCATTTAACAAGAATATATCAAATAATCATAATTGAGAGTGGTTTCATAATCTTATTACGGGAAAACAAAAAGCATCAAATCCAGTTCAGTTTTTCCTCCTCTTCACG